TTTTTTATTTATCGCACAATTTATTTTATTTATTTATCCATTTTGCCAAAGAATCATATTTTTTCTGTTGCAACAGCATTGTATGGCTTAGCCTTCATCTACAAAGGGAAGGGGGGGGGGGTGGAGGACGAGGGGGGGCGGGGCGAGGGACTTATGCACTTCTGCTATTTGTAATCTAAAATTCAGCCTTTTACTTTCTTTATCAATTTGTTCACAGCGGACGAAATTTCAAACTTGACGTCTAGGTTTCGCCTTGGACTCGGTGTATTCGTCGATAAGCCTGCCGCTCCTTACATGGACACAAGTCCTGTGATGTAAGTCATCTTTTCTTTGGTCACTCGGACCAGGCAAAGGGGCTTAACTTCTCAGTGTTTTACACGATAGCGACTCAGGTTCTCTTCCAAAAGTGAAGAACAGCTCACAGTCTGTGAACAGTGTCAACAGACAAACAGCCAAAAGTCGTCCAACAGTGGCCCGACAAACAACCGACAGTCAACTGGTCAACTGTCGGCCAACAGTTGGTCAACATTCGGTGAACTGTCGGGCAATATTCGGTAATTGCTCGGCCAACGGTTTGCCACTGAATTGTCGGCTGACGAATAGTCAACAGTTTTTACGCATGAAGTGAAACTGGTGACTGACCGTCACCGACAGCTGACCTTTAGTTGATGATTTATGAGTGAGTTGTCGGTAGGCTCTAATAATTAATCCTTAATTACTTTGCGCAAGTACAAGCACCTTTTTCGGGGCGAGCTCCGGTTATACTTCGTTTCGCGAAACACTATTCCCTGTGCGATTCCTTGGCAAATATTTTGCAGTCATCCCTTTCCGGAAAAATTGGTAGTGAAATACTCGTACTCCGCCTTAATCTTGGTCTGGTTTACTTCCGGCCGAACGCTGGAAACACTAGCCCGGCTTATTTTCTTTGCCAACTCTGAGTTGGCTTAGACTAAGTGATATTTTTTATGTGTGTGTCTTTATTTTCTCAAGGGTTGCTCATCCTGATCCGAAAAATCCAAACTCCATTCCAACCTTTGGGTACCGCAACGTCCTGCCGCTAAACAAGAACGCGTCCGATTTCCAGGTAAGTAATGAGCCGATTTTTGCGTAACTCG